GCCCGGGCCGTCCAGGCCGTGAGCGCGCCGCCGCCTTGCACCACGTACAGTAGGCACGCCGGGAGTGTGTTTGATTTCAGAGCAGAGATACCATGGAAATGCAAACAGAGAGGCAGAGGGCTAGAGCGGGCTAGAGCCGCTAGAGCACGCATCGCCAAGGGCGCTCATTTCCACAAATTGAAATTGGGTACTTATTCGCTTTGCAAAGCCTTATATTAACACAGTTTCGGGGAGGCCGGGGTTTCTAAGGCCCGCCGTGTCATGGTCAAGGGACTCACCGATTGGCCGTGCTGGTTGCGCGCCAACGCCTCGACGAACTCGCAAGGGAACAGCCCACTCCTGCCGTTGAGCGACCCGTACAGCCAGCCTAGAGGGAAGGACAGGTCAGGTCAGTGACTGCTCGTCTCACTCACACCGCTCGCAGCCCGTGGGCGAGAGAGCGAGTGCGTGAGTGACAGAGAGAGAGAGAGCACTCTGGTGGGCGTCACGTCACGGTCACGCCGGCGTTACCTTTCTGCAGGTGTTGATCCCGGTTGACCAGCCGGATGACGTCGCCCTTCCGGAAACAGAGTAGCGACTGGTCCCGACTCACATGGTCCTGCACTCCTCGCACGTACTCCTGCGCACCCTAAACCCCGCGAAAAAAAATCAAATAGGTTTAGAAAAAAATGGAACTTTAAGAGAAAAAAATATTGTGGGTGTGCAAGAAAATCTGTAGTGCATACCTTGCACGCCTCTAGGATGAATCTGTGCAGCATGGTTTGGACTTGATTGGCACGATGAGTGTACAAAAGTACGCGTCCGCCAGCGGACAGCATAAATTGAACACTGCTAGTTTTAGGCATTGTGACCTCCGCAATTTCGTCAAATCTGAAAGTGCAGCCAAATAATAGCAATAGTTAAATTATAGATTACTTGGATAAAGTGTAATTTGTTACAGACCAGAAGCTTTAACTTGAATGTCAAATTGCTCTACTCACGTGAATGTGTCAAGTACTTGTAAGTAATCATGAGGAACACTCTTCTCTTTGCGCAATAGTCTTACTCCAGAATGAGATATGGCAAGAAATTGTACATCTGGATTTTGATGGCCACCCTAAAACGAAATTCAATTAGGCTAACTATTTTTGCTACGTGCTGAATTTTTAAGTAATTATTTAGAAAATAAAATTTTACCGAAACTGGGAATATTCTAGAGAAGTAGACATTCCACTGCTTGGCCATGTCTACAACATTCTTCTTAATAGTATTTTTATGATGAGCAGATTGTAAATTATTTAATGTGACTCCATAGTTGTCAAGCATCTGGAAAATAATCAAAGAGAAAAATTTAGAAACAGATCATCGGTGAAACACTGTCCTCCTGGCGAGAAGACACCAGACCACATTTACCTTCCTCATGTTGGTCCTCTCCTCCCGCCCGATCCTGATGCAGTTGGGGCTGAGCGTGTCCTGCACCACCTGGCAGAAGACGAGGTGCAGCGCCAGCGGGGTGGACAGGGCCTCGTTGGGCGCGAACACCTCCTTCTTGACGTTGAGCCGCCACGCCGTGCGGTTGTACGTGAAGTACGCCGCGCTGCTCGGCCCGAACAGCTTGGTCTTGGTGGTCTCCACCGACCGGTCCAGGTCTCGCCGGTCCAGCACCAGCGGGGGATTCGAGTCCACGGGCTGCAGGAACTCCGAAGATTCCTCAACTGAAACGACGTGACATGTTTTTAAAATGGCACACGCCTGGAGAAAGAATGAGTGTGACGACCAGATATTTGCGCAACGCACTTTCGATCCTCTCCATGACGTCGGTGTGGTGCGTGGACACGGAGGCCCGGCGGTGGTCGCGGCCGGCGGGGGAGCCTCCTCGGCCCGCGGGCGAGCCGCCGCGCCCGAACAGATCCCGCTGGCCGTCGTGCTGGCGCACGGGCTGGATCGGGGGCGGGGGCGACCGCGGCTGAGGGATGCCCGGGGTGTTGCTACAAATAGAGACGAGGGTTATTATTGGTGTTCAATGGCAGGCTCGAACTTGTAAAACCTTTTTGAAAGTAGCCGAGGGAACAGAAAAGGGTCCAAGTGATGATATCAAGGGTGTCGATATCAGCTCGAATATCACGTCAAATTAACGTCGAGGTGACGTAATAATGACTCGCTTGATGTTGGTTGATATCATTTTGACATGTTTCTGTTCGTCTGCGAGTGCAGCTAGTGTGGGAAATGGCCACAAACCTCTGTGAGTAGAAACTGCTCGTTCTGCTCGCTGGTGTGTGGTGGTTGGTTTGAGCGTGAGCGTCACCATTGTAGTGGGGTATGATGGGCGGGGGCGGAGGCGCCGGCTTCCACCCGGTCATACTGGTATTGGCACTGTGAGGCGTGGCATTGATGGGCTTCTCCATGCGCTCCACCTGGCTGCGCACGTTACTAGTCGGCTGCATCTCTGTGCGGTCTTCCTGGGCAAGTTTTCTGGTGCCGGCATCGACACTGTCAATGCTGCCCCACCGACCGGCTAGTGAAAGAGAGGAGAGGTGTAAGGTTCGATGCATACAGTTTTCTAAACAAGCACATTGAAACCATAAATGGTGGCGATGTAATTACCAAGTTGTTGCTCCAATAACAGCTTGCGATTGTCCTCCAATTTAGAGACGGTACGTTGCTGCCCGTGCCCATGCCCATGTCCATTTTGTTGCATGTTGTTGAGAAGGGAAAGGGCAGGTTTTTCAGTCTTTGTGGTAGAACGCAGGCTATGGTTTGCAGTGACTAACTCCAACTTGCTGCGCATTTCTGAACTTATCCTTAATTTTCCTACACTGCTTGGACTGCTTGCAGAATGCAAGTCCAAATTTGATCTGACAATATTGTTTTTATTCTTGTCTGCTACATCTCTCTTGTTACTAAGGTTGCTGGTACTACTACTCTTCCTTGGCGGCTCCAGACTAGTTGGACTGCTGTCCATTTCGAATTCTTCCCACTCTATCCCTTCTCCATTTTCGCTTGCATCCTGGAAAAAATATTACCTCCAAATTAATTTCAAAAACCAAAGTCTTTTAAGTTTTTCCATGAAAGAAGTCCTTCGTTTTGACTTACATGACTTGACTTCTGTGGCGACACCTTTCTTTGTTGCTGTCTTAATTTAAAATGAAGGAAGCTATCAGCTGTCTCTCCATTATCTTGTGGTGGTGGCCACCTCCATTTTCCTATTCTTACAGTTTTTGCTCTACCATATGGGTCCAGGAATGGTCTTGTTTCTGAGGGGTCGATGTATTCTGGAGGGGGTGGCATGGGAGGGGGTG